TTCTTGAATACATATGAAGTTATAGAAACAAAAAAAAATAAATTTATACTAATCGGATTATAATTTGCATTTGTATTGTATTTTCAAAAAACATTAATCGACACTTATTCATTATTTCCTTTCTTTTTTTTGTCACCATTTGGATGAATAGGTCGATATTTTTTTTTTTTTTTCTTTTCATTCGTTCTTTTTCATTCTTTTTCTCTCATCGCGTTCTCGTTGTATCGTCGTCTCCTTGTTTTTGACATTATAAATCATTGCTTAGTAACGCCTCCTTAATGGAGAAATCTCAACAATTCGTTTGTCTATACAAGTTGATACTCGCGTTCTCTCATTGCCATTGAATGTAAAGGAACGACAGAGATAATGGTAGAGTTGAAGTCATAGAGAAAGAAAAAGAAAAAAGAAAAAAATATTACACTTAAAATATACAAAATAAAAGTGTGCATGTTAAAATTTCTTTTTTTTTTAAACAAAACTTTTCTTTTTTCTTTTCTCATATTATAGATCTGATTAAACAAGAAAAAAAAACAAAATATATAATTTTCATGTTTTAATACAAAAAAAAAAAGAAATCTTCTAATGAATTCCAATCAACAACAACAACAACAATTACTTGCTTGTCTTCATACAGGTTTAACTGTTGATATACAACGATCGAATGGTCGTATACATCAAGCTGTTATAACACAAATAAATCTTGAAACAAAAAGTGTTACTGTTGAATGGCAAGAAAAAAATGAAGGCAAAGGAAAAGAAGTTGATTTAGATGCAATTGTACAACTTAATCCAAATCTTTTTACATCAGTTACTAATTCATCATCATCTCATCATCATAATAATGGTGCTATTGAACATGATACAAATAATAATAGCGATTATTATACAAATGGTGGTACTGTTTCACAACCAAATCGTCGTACAAAACAACAAAATAATGATATTGAAACTGTACGTAAACAACCACAACTTCCAGCTGCTGCTGCTGCTGCTGCTGTTGCTCGTCCTGCAGTTATATCAAATTCAGCTGTACAAGTTAATAATGATATATCACCACAAAAACAACAAATATCATCTATACAACCAACACCATTAGATTCAAATAAATCAAAAGTTGTTAAAGAAATTGAACGTATAGCAGCTAATCGTGAACAACGACGTGCTAGACAAGATGAACGTCGACAAAAATTATCAGAAGTTGATCAATCAATACCAGCATGGGAATTTCAAGCTATGGTTAGTGAATATCGACAACAACTCGATACAAAATTATTAACAATGAATGAACAACAAAAAGATTTAAAAATATGCGTTTGTGTACGTAAAAGACCAATAACAAAAAAAGAATTAAATAAAAAAGATATTGATGTATTAACAATACCAAATAAAGAAGTTGTTATTGTTCATTTACCTAAAGTTAAAGTTGATTTAACAAAATATATTGATAATCAAAAATTTCGTTTTGATTATGGTTTTCATGAAACATGTAATAATGAACTTGTTTATCATTTTACTGCTCAACCATTAGTACAATCATTATTTCAAGGAAATAATCCTATGGTATTTGCATATGGACAAACTGGTTCTGGTATGTTTAAAATAATAATAATAATAATAAATTGAAAATAATTTATTTATTTAATTTATTTAGGTAAAACATATACAATGGGTGGTGATTTAAGTCAACGTGATGTCGATTTTTCCAAAGGAATCTATGCATTAACAGCTAATGATATATTTCGTCATTTAAATAAACCTCCTAATAAAGGTCAATTTGATGTTTATTGTACGTTTTTTGAAATTTATTGTACAAAAGTATTTGATTTATTTAATGAAAAAAAACGTTTACGTGTATTAGAAGATCATAAAAATTTAGTACAAGTTGTTGGTAAAAAAGAAGAACAAGTGGAAAGTGTTGAAGATGTTATGACATTAATACGACGTGGTATGAGTGTACGTACATCTGGTACAACATCGGCTAATGAAAATTCATCAAGATCACATGCTGTTTTTCAAATAACATTAAAGAAAAAAAATATGATAAAAGAATATGGAAAAATTTCATTAATTGATTTAGCTGGTAGTGAACGTGGTAAAGATACACAAACAAATGATAAAACAACATTAATGGAAGGTGCACAAATAAATAAATCATTATTAACATTAAAAGAATGTATACGTTCATTAGGACGTAATGCTGAACATATACCATTTCGTGGTTCAACATTAACAAAAGTTTTACGTGATTCATTTATAGGTGAAAAATCTAAAGTATGTATGATAGCTATGGTATCACCAGGTAATAGTGATGTTGAACATACATTAAATACATTACGTTATGCTGATCGTGTTAAAGAATTAAATGTTGATGAACTTAAACAACGTGGTGGTGGTAATAATCATCCAGGACAAATTCTTGGTACACATGATGATATGCTTTTAGGTCAACCACTTGATGAAGAAGATGAAATCGATGATGATGACTATGTTGATGATTTAGTTGGCATAAATAATAATAATAATAATAATATTAATATAAATCAAGCAATGCCAACATCACGTTATGCTGGACAACAACAACAACAACAATCAAATATACCTAAAGTACAACAACCAACAAATTTAAAACGACCTGTAGGACATAAACAAAAATCTGAAACAACACGTAAATTTGAAGAAGCTATTGCACGTTCACAAGAAATTGAAGATTTAACATTAGAATCACATAATGAATTAATTGATGATTTACCACAAATTGTTGCTAATCATCAAAGTTTACTTGATTTATCAACAAATATGAATTATGATCGTGATGAATATGCTAAACAATTAATTAGTCTTATTGATAATCAACAACAATATTTAGCTGAATTACGTAATAAAGCATTACAAATGCGAGAAGCTGTTGCTTATGAAGATTTATGTGCTAAAGCATTACCATCAAAATGATACAACTATGGAAGAACTTCTTTTCTTTTTTTTTCTCTCTCTCTCTCTTTTTATATGCCGCCGGTTTTTCTCTTCTTTTTTTCGGTGATACCTTCTCGCCTGCCGCTGTGTGTGCGTGTGCTTGTGTGTGTGTGTATTAGTCTGATAAGATGATCGTTGGTGTACAGAAACATAAAAGCACTTATTCCAATATTTCATTTGTTTCACTTATTGACATTTTCTTTTCTTTTTTTTTCCTTGTTCTTATTATTTGTCACATGAGTGTTACTGTTGTTCTTTAAAATCATGAAAGCATCAATATAATATGACTAAATGTGTAAAATAATTTATAAGAGAGTCATTTTTTTGTTTTAATGTTTAGGGTGTGGAAAAAAAAGGGTCAGGAAAACTTTGTTAAAAACATATGGGATGCTTTTCACTAATCACTTTAAAATAAAAACAATTGTAAAAAACTGTTACTTGTATTTTAGCTCTGTTTGAATAAAATTCGAATTAGAAATAAGATTTTTGATGATTTTTTAATTGGTGCAAAATATGTATGAATTCTTTTTTTTCTATGTGTTAACTTGCGATGCACAAATAATTGCTGAAATCTTCAAATATGATTTTTCATTCGAGGGCATTGTAAAAAAAAAAAAAAGAAAGTTTTTTCATTAATAAGATCTTGCTCTGATGTATACAAAAAAAAATACAAAGTAACAAATTAAATATCAACGGGAATGCTACATAGAATGTAATACATTTTAATGTTCCACTCTTATGGTATGCAATGAATTCTTTCAGCGTATTCTTATCCGATAAGTTAATGGATCAAAAGATTCTACTTTCAAATACTGTTTGTGTTTTAAAAGATTTTTATCGGGTTTAATTAACGAAAAAATCTGACATTAAAAACTCTAAAAGAATTTCGATAAGCTATTGAGTTTTTAATATATATATATTTTATGAAGAAACTTGTAGAATCTATATTTTTAGAAACATTATATTTTTTGTATTTTGTCTTGAAACTACCATTGCTCAAAGTCCATTCATGTACTAACCTAAATAAAGAGTGTCCGAATTTTTAGATAGGTATTAGATTTACTAAGCCTATAATCGAGTGTCGCCGAGCTTAGGTCCGAAAAGTTTGTTTCCGCACCAGAGTCTGACTCGGATTGTAAAAATTTGGCTCTCGTCAGACACTGTCCGGTACATCTCTAGTGGAGAACCATAGATGAAGGTTTCGGTAATTATTGTTAGATCTATATTCTATTCAATGTTATTATACTGTATTTGATTTTATTCAATTATAAAATCAACAACAAAAAAAAAAAAACTTAGGTTGAACTGAAAGCAAAACACTGGAAACCTCAGTCTTGAAGTTGAATATTTCTTTAACTTTTTTTAATGATATGAATAAAGATTTTTTGTGTTCTTTGAAATGGAAGAAAAAAATCAAAGTTTTTGAACAACAAGAAAGATCTATTTTTAAGATTAAAAAAATCAACGAGAACCGAAACTCGAATGCAATAAGGTTTTGTTAGCAATCACACAAGTTTTTAGTTCTTTTGTTTTTTTGTTTGTCTGGCAAAATACGAGTAGATTAAGATTCGAAATTAAAGGCAGACATATCCATCTATAACATCGATTGATAATAAAAGTTATTGGTTATTCTTCATTTTATTACCCTTTAACAATCAATGCTGAGAAAAATGTCTTCAAGTGACAATTCAATCTTACTTGAGAATGTGACTGTGTTTACTTTTTTCACCTAGATACATTCATAGTATCTCATACGCCATAAAGCTTCTTCTTTTTACTTGTCATTTGAATAAACATTTTATTTTTCCTGGATTCTTTTTTCGTATTACTCACTATTCTTTTTTCTTCGTTCTGTTCTATGTATGTCCTAGACATGATTCTTTTTTTCATCGGTTAGATGACAAGGCTAGATGTAAAGATTTGCTGCTTTCGTCTTGTTTTTTTCTTCTTCTTCTTCATCCATTAAATATATTGTAGAACACGATATTGAATTAATCATTTTTGCGCGTGATCATTTTTCTAGTATTTAAATGGCTTACTTCAACCTTGCTATTAACCCGAAAAATGCAATCAAATCGAAATCAAGCGGAGGAAAATCTCCTATCGATTTGACTGATTTTCATCCATCGAATGGTAAAGCTATTGGAGATGATTGGGATGTTCAACCTGGAGATGTGATTGCATGGAGTGATTATAGAGCAGACAAAACTTACTTGTAAGTATTCTATTAATAGCTTACATTATTATAAGAAAAAATAAGAAACAATTCTTAAAATAATTTTCATCGAGATTTCGATTTCTCTGATAGAATTTTGACGTAATACAATGCCATAAATGCTTATTAGATGTTATAACATATACATGATACAACTAAATTCGCTAAATATTTATTAATTAATAACAAAATTCTAAATCAATTTTATCTATTTTAGTGTTGATGAGCAACGTCATCTATTGAAGAACCAAGATACTTCTGGTTCAGGCTACTTAACCATTCCTCTTTCAATAACTCGTCTTTTTCCTTCGGCTTTGAAACATTATGCATCATTACTTGGAAGTCAGTCTAACCTCGTGGCTGAAATTGAACTTGGACCCACCGATGGCATCTTTGTCGAAAAATTTGGTTCTCCATTACCGGAAACAATTCGTAATAGAAACGATATTTCGTACATGTACAATCCTGAAGAAGGTACATTCTATGTTACAGTAGGTAAGAATGAAACTCATGAATTTCCATTGGATGGAACTAAAACAAAAGATATTGTTGATTATGTGGAAGTCTCAAATGAAAAAAAAGCTGCATTCATCGTCACGTTTAATATTCAAGTATGACTATTGTTTAGAAAACTGAAACTAAAGTCTTGGCTTCTTCCTTTGTTTTTTTCTAGGGAGAAGAAACATACAAAAAATGGCCAGGTCGTTTGAATAGTAATTTATTACCTTCTGGATGGTCATGTGAACAGCATGGTTCTCTATCTGGCGGATCTCATTCTTCGAAGGGTGCATGGAAACTACAAGGACCAGAAAAATCTAAAGAAGCAGTACTCGAAATCGCAAAAAAATACTACGATGGATTCGGAGTAAATATCAATTGACAAGTGAATTGACATAAAAAAAAAATAACCAGAACAAACTGCTTTTGCTGCTTTTGATTTTGCTATAAAATATACAAATATTGCTTTCAATAATTTTACATGATTAAGTATTCGATGAATTAAAGAGGTATGAGTATAAGCGAAGAGAAGGTCTATACCTACAGCTAAAGCCATGGGAACTGATGATGAAGATCAAAAGTGAAATTCCGATTTAGTTTGAGATTTCTTTTATATCGTCACTCTAACTGATTTGTTGAAAAGAAATTCCTTCGAAAAATGATGTGAGAGTCATATTCAAATGGTTTTTGCTTATCGAAATGAAAGAATTTATTTTTTATAAGAACTGTTTCAGTATGAACACATCGAATGTATTAAATTTTACATGATGAAATCTTTTTGGATGAGAAATTGCTTTTTCAGTTAAGAGTTTTATTACTAAGAAGACACTCTCCTTTCAACAATCTCGACAAAATCATCTCAATTCGAAAGATAATCGAAAAATGATTTGCTGATCTTAAGACACACATGAAATAGTGGATTTTATTCGTCAAGGTCATTCTTTCTTGTCGTTAGAGATCGTGTTCCATATATTATACATCAAACCTTGTCGTTGACAAGAATCATCACCTGGAAAGCAAGAAAAGATATGTTCGTTGAATATTCGTCAATATCAACGTCTAGAAAGACTTTGCCAATGGAAATCACTTCGATAAGATCTTTACTCATCGAATGATCTTCAGATTTCTTCAATGTATTGTATCAAACATTGATCAAACGATGAATAGAGTGCATTTCAAATTTTGAAAAACTTCAAGTTGAATGATGAAAAGTGAAGACAATTATTTGTCAGTTTAAAAACATGTCGAAATCGATTAAAATTGTTATGTATCTTGTACAGACGTCTTCACTCAGACTCATTTGTTGTAATGCCATTGCTTAAATCTCCAACGGCAACAACGTACTTCTCTCAAACCGATCAAAGGACTTTCTTTTCTCTTCGCCGTCCTGCTCAATATGACGAATTTCGGATCGAAATTCTTTTTTCGAGAAGAACGAATCAATGTTTTCATATTGCGATCGTATTTCGACGTATTGTATACGAAGAAATATGATCGTGATATGGAATCATGTAATATGCCAAAAATATGAGTGTATACGGATTTTGTATACTACGCCCTGAATTGGTAAAATACAAAAAAACATCGATAAAATCTTTTGTCACGAGAATCGATCATCGTTTTTTTTTCATGAATGAAAGAATCCTACTTAATTGTTAAAAATTCGTCGTAAGGGAAACTTTTCGAATTCATCTCGTCACTTTCGTTCCTAACTAATTCCTAAAGAATTATTAATAAAATATTTTATTAATTGAATGATCATCTTACATTTACTTTTTTGGAAGAAACCTAAGCAATAGCACACAAAAACATAACACTAAAAACAATTTTCACACGAATCAATATTTTCGCTAGTGGTGTAACCAGAAGATCGTTGGTGGTAAAAGGCAGCGCTCTATAAGCTTCGAGGTAAACCATGCCCTAATGAGTGTACTGGATCAGTGGCGAGGTGAGTACCGTTTTGGGTACTCTGTTTCCAGTATGGAACAGAATCTTGACTGGATATGCTGCTGAGAATTATCGCAGTGCATGAGTACTGACCAGGTACCCGTTCAGTTTCTATAGCATTCTAAGAGAAATCTATCAACAAGTTGTTAGATCGAACATTTAGAATCATTTTGTAGGCAAATATTAAAAAATCTATAAATTACTCTAAAATACTGAAGTACCCAAAGCGTCCTGTGGCATATTAGTGGCAAGGTATCCTGAACTTAGTATATTCACTACGATGCAATATGCTCGCAATTATGGTAGTTATTACATTTTTCTTTCTTCTAGTGGTAGAGCAGCACTCAGTCTAACACATGCTACAGATGGCGCACACGCGCCTACTATATATTGATAGAATAATTAGGCTGATAATTAAATACTAACTGCAATCAGAATGCTCCTTTTTCTTCTTTAATCAGATGATTAAATGTTAATATGTTTGGTAGATTCACATATTATATTTTTCTAATAATAATCATCAATAAAAGACTAATGGCGACATCCAACATAATTGTGTTATGATATTTCAATGAATTGTTCGTTGATTATTTTAATCCAAAGAAATTCAAATTTGAAAATTTCGGACCCGGATCCAATCGATCAAATTTTTTCAGACTCGGTTGAAGTTTTCTAATCAAAACTGGACAATAGCTACGAAGATACTTCTCTCCTGTTTTTTGTATTCAGTGACTAGCCTCAGACGACTAGAGACCATGGGATCTGGGTTTTGGACTCCACCAACGGGCTCTAATCGCTGTAGAATGGCGGCGACAATACGTTTAGGATGAGTGTCTTCTGTATACTGTCACCCTCATCTCCATCCCATATACTAATCTTCAAATTCCATATCCACTCTCACTATTCATTCCATTTCGTTCGATTACTCACTGAAAAATAAATCCTCCAACAAATCTATGAACATTTAATTAACTTCTACAACCTTCGTTCATTTACTCTATGTACATGTACTCAATAATTCATTTTTATTATCTGAATAACAACTACATATCGATACCAATGATGAAAAATAATAATAATTTTATAGTGATTAAAACAACATACGATTTTCTTTGGGTATGTATTAGTAAATAAGATAAAAAGACTCTTATTTGTTATTGTAAAAATCAACAAAAGTATGCTTCTAAAAACAAGATTATGACATGATAGATGGAATAGAAACGATCTTTTTTTAGTTCTTGTCCTTCACGATCATCTTATTTCTGTAACTAGTCTGCTCAATTAATTTTCTATTATTGATAAAGTATGCACATGTGTTTGTCAACATGACTGTGTGTTCAAACTCTCAGAAAAAAAGTTCAATCATCAAGATCGAATGACATCTTCACTTTTACTTACTTGATTACTAATTTTTTTTTTCTTTTTTTCTTGTTCACCGAGTAGATATAGTCTCGGCTTTCTGCTCAGAAGAAAAAAAAAGAATTGTCGTTGCTTTCTCTCAATTCATTTAAATAACTAGCAAAAAACACAACAATGATTTTCATTGTTTCTGTATCATTACAACTTGTGTATAACTCACTTATGTTATTTCATATCGAACAATTATTTAAGAAGAAAATTTCATCAGAAAACATACATTCATTTTACTAGATTTTTCTTTTTGCTTTCTTTCATTCATTGTCAACAACTACCTATCGATCATTATCGAGTATAATGACCATGATCTCTATTCTCATTTTTTTTCCTCCTATGAACAAATACACGGTAAGACAGACAATAGTGTCAAAATATATTAAGTGTCTTTCTTTGTCTTCTCATCCCTTTGGAAGGAAGCTCTCAAATGGGAAATAGAAAATTTATCATTGAAATTTGATTATTGAGCCTAGCGGTGAAAAAGAGGTAGAGAGAGAGGGAAAACAAAAGGCAATGATGATGACGGTCGTATTATTATTGTTTGTTCACTAGACATACATCAAAGTTACTTTTCTCCTCCTTAAGAGATTTCATATATATTGATCGGAAAAATCGAGATGTCAACGAATAGTATTCGATAAAAAAAAAAACGATGAACGAAAGAAATACTTATATCAAAACAAAAAAAATGAATAAATTTTTTTTTTCTAGACATCATATTATATGTCAGCATGATATACAATGAAGACTAATCGTGTTGTTGTTGTTAAAACTATTCAATCAGGTATTTCTTTTATAATGAACATTTGATTGAAACGAACGATTCTTTTTTTTTCTTTTTATTTTAAGTAGATTTCAATCATCTATTTTTATCTCATAATTCTATAAAAATAAATTCATCTATTAAGGATAATGATGAAGTAATCAAAAATACAAGTTGTGATACAAACGAAGTAAGTAGTTAGCATTTGCATGATAATAAAACACGAGACAATTATCAGCGGATTGACTAAAAAAAAAGAGAGAAAAAAAAATGTCTCTTTTTATAAATTTTATTGAATAATGATGTTTATGGATTAATAAATATTCATCATGCAGGTATTGAATAGAAATTGTAATATATCATTTATTTATTGAGTAGGTTGACACTAATGATGATAAAATATGAATGAGAGAGATAGAGAGAGTTGCTCATTTTTTAATCTTATGTACGCTTATTATTAAAAAAAAAACATGTGTATGATATTTTATGATGACGCAAGTTCTTACTATATACATATATAATAAGAAAAAGAAAAATGATTGATTTTTGTTTTTTTTTGTTTAATTCAGGTTGATAATCATATAGAAAATTCTGATTCAGAATTAGAAAATCAAAATCATCAACAATATTCTTGTTTACAATGTGAAAAATCATTTACAACATTAAGTGGTTTAAAACAACATATGCATATTCATTCATCAATAAAACCATATCAATGTGAAGTTTGTTTAAAATCTTATACACAATTTTCAAATCTTTGTCGACATAAAAGAATGCATGTTAATTGTCGAACAAAAGTTAAATGTAAATTTTGTGGACAAATCTTTTCAAATAGTACAACACTTAATAAACATCAGTAAATATATTAATATATTTTCTAACTAAGATTAAATGTGTCAAAAACTTAGTGAATAAAAATTTAAGGAAATTTTTATTTTTTAAATAGCTTTACTCAAGCATGATTTGTGAAAAGACATTTAATAGTTTTTTTCGAAGATCATTAAAACGGACAATGAATGTGAGATATAATTGTTCTCATAAGTGCATTTCAGTTCTTATCATACAGACTATTTTGTTGTAATAGACAAAGTTTTAAGGAACTTTTAATATTTTACTAAGACCTCCTCAAAAATCGTCCTTCACTCAGGCACATTCGAATCATATGAAATTTTCAGAATATGTTGGAGCTAAAATAAAATTTTCAGCTCTATATCAGGATATTTTTGAGAGATATTCAACTAACAACAGTCAAAAATAGC